CCATCTTATAATCCTGCCTATTTTTGAAAAACCTGGTTCAAAGAAGCTTAGACTAGATTACGTCCATTTCAAAATCTGGAATAATTATATGATGATGCTGAAAATTCAGCCATGTTTTAAAATCTTGAAATTTCTTGATTCAATATAATTAAATGAATAAATTCATTTTCAGCATATTCATATATTGCAATTCATCTACAAGAGCAAGAGGGCTTTCCCTGACAAATGTAAAAGCCATGTTTAAAGATGCTGAGTCTGTAGGGCTGAGTGTCATTTTCACAGCCCATGAGGCCATCCTATGTCCCTCCGGTGGAGCTATGATGCAAGATTGCTCCGAACTTGAGCCCTGAGAACAGCTGCAGCACACATGGTGAGCCAGGGAGTGTCTGTTTTCATTGTTTCTGGGTGCTGACGAAACCCGATCGCTATACAAGTGAAAATATTAGAAGTCTAGAAATATATGTATTTTGAAGATGAGCTTTAAAGTAAATCTTTCTGTCTGCCCCTCCAGTCCTGCTGGGCTGTCTTTGATATTGTGTTGTCATCAGTGGTGGTGGTAAAGGGGTAAAGACAAGAAAAATGGCCGGATTCAAGATATAGATGATTTAAATTCGTTCACAGGTCTTTATCAGTCTGTGCTTGTTCACTGACTTTGGATCCTTCTGTAGCTACGACCCTTAGTGCTCATTGAATGTACCTCGGAGTTCCTAGTTAAGTGCACTGATAAATATCTGGTAATACAGAATAGGAAATAATGTAAAAAAACTCCTCTCATTGTATTATACATGTTGGTTATTCTATATATATTCAATAGATGGTTATTCTGATCTATTCACATGTGAGGTAAACCAAGACATCTCACACAACCTATGGCTTACTGATAGTCTAGGCCCTTCTGAAAAAACTCTGATTTTATTTGCATAGTGTTACTTTCTCCTCTCTAAACTAGTCTATTTTGTATTTCTTTCTCTTACTCTTCATTTTGTGTCTGAAAGCTCGTCAAATCATAAGATGACTTTCTGCAAGTATCATAATGTTACTTTGCAAGGGTTCTTGTGAGGCAGCTGTTCACCACCTGATGGATGTGTTCATTGTGGAGGTTGTTGATGAAGCAGTGGGTATTGAAGAAGTGCTAGGCTTGGGGTCAACATTCAGGAAATGCTGTTTGCTGTTTCTGTATGGTCCTTCTGAGAGATTATATAGGGCACAAGTAAGAAGAAAAAGAGTTTGGAAATAAAACTTAATATCATCTTGACTTTTTGCTGAAGCAGATGCGCTTTTAATAGACTTCAGAGCAATTCAGTAGCAGTGCAATTTCATAAACAAAGGTGTGAGATCTTTGTCCAGACATTCGTGTCAACTTTTCTAAGATACCATTTGCTGAGAAGTGTCCAAACCAGGTATCCCAAGAAATAACCCAGTACATAATCATACCTGTAAAAATAAACAAAATGAGGTTTAGAAGGCTTCCTAGGTTCTCTCATTGTCGTCAAATTAGATAAAGTGCAGAAAAGTATGGCATTGGAAAAATGATCGAATTCTGGCTAGAGATGAAAATGCTGCAATTGAAAATTTTCCAGAACAACATGTACTTGGATCTGTATTAAAGAAAAATTCTTCGAGTGTTTAAGCCAAATGATCCAGCAGAGTTGATAGTGTGAGGCATATTTCACAGTTGTATAAATATTTAAAACTGTTTTCCAGACTATAAAACAAGTAAATTAGATTATTTTTTAAAAACTGCACAATGAAATAAAGCTGCTCACCTGAATTTGTTGGAGGAACCTGTCCTACTCATGCTATGCCTTCTCTCCTGGAAAAGAATCAGAAGGCAGTGTGATGAGGAAAACAAAGCTGGTTTACGTTTCAGGGAGTTTCAGAAGGAATGATTAGTATCATGGTATACGGCCACAGGTGGTTTGTTTCCAGAAGCCTGTCTGGTTTTGGGCAGTCTTGACTAACTTGTCACCAAGGGCCAGATCCAATGGACACAAAAGCTGTTCAGCATAAACCCCTTTGAACTTGGTTAAGGGTGGTCTTAAGGCTCCCTGATGTACAGGAGCTTCACAGAAGCAGTGCAGCTTGTTGGCTGAGTTGTTTTCTATTCTGAGAGGCCGGTGCTGTCCTGTGAGAATGGCACCAAACTTGTCCTTCAGTCTCAGTGTTGCCTTGTAGGTGGTCTTTCTCATCATCACCCATGTTGTTTCTGCCCTTTCCAAAATTTAATTTTTTTCCCTCTTATATTTTAACTATTTCCCTGGACCAATTTCCCTTGCCAGTATCTCCTCACTTTTTGCCTCCAGTTAAATAGACAGTGATGTTTCTGTATTTATTAATAAAGAGTTTGAAAACAAAGGCCAAATTTATTGAGGTTTCCTAGCTGCTGTATAATGCTAGCATCCTGGGGTGGTGGAAAAAATGCTCGTCTGGGAGTTAGGCATCTTGAGTTTAGGCCAGGGGTACAGCTAACTCACTGGATATCCTTGGGCGAATCAAATCACTTCTTTGGGGCTTTATTCCCACATGGCTCAGATTAAACCCCTTTAAATTTAATACCCCAGGAAAGGTTTATCTATTTCCTCTATTATATGATGCTACATTGTGAATACATACTCTTGAATGTATACTTTTGATTCTTTTCCATTCTTGAAAAAATTAATCTTGCTTTTGTTCTTAGATTGCAGAATGAAAAATGGATGAACGTCAAAGTGGGAGACATCATTAAATTAGAAAATAACCAATTTGTTGCTGTGAGTATTTGATATTGTTTAAAGAATTTATCTCAGATTAAAATAGCATATATATAGAAGCATTTACTTTTACAAATTTAAAAAATCTATCCTAATCTAGAATAATAAAGAAGAGAATACCAGTGTTTATTAGTAAAAGTGTCAGTTATAAAATGTTTTAACAGACCTTGATTTATTACTTTCAATAACTTGGTAACTTAGATAAGAATGAGACTGATTATCGCCTAGTCTATTTCCTTAGGGATCTTTTAAATTAACAGTCACAAAGGATTTTAACTCAGGATGTCAATTATTTTAAGTAAATTTGAGTTTTTTAAATGCTTCAGAGTACTCTAAAAACAATTTGTTCTCATATATTTTGTGATCAGTACTGTTAATATCATGATTAGTATTGTTAACTTAGATTATATTTGAAGAAAACATAGGCTAGAGAAAAAGGTCTGCTCTTTCTTGAATAATCACAAAACGTTTATTGATTGTGCTGAATTAATCATGTGTTAGTGAGGTCTTCCTTTGTATCAAATATTCTCAAGCTGCCTACATTACAATTTCCATGAAAGGTTTCTGTCCAATCACTAAAATATGCAACTCACTCTAGGTCAGATTAAATTTAGGGTGACAAAAACTATCCAGATCAGAGACTGAAATTTCAAACTATTGCAGTGTTTATGTCAAATATATATTAGATTATTTATAAATGTTTTTGTGTTGAGTGCAACTTTGCATATCAAGTTGTGTACATCATTGAATTTGAGGCATTTTACCACAGGGGAAAAATATGGCCCCAGGATCTAGGTAAAAGAACAACGCAGTTAAGACTGCTAAACATTCACTTTCAGAAAACAGTCTTCCTTCATTAATGCCCTATGTGTGTACATTGAATTTTCTAGAACAGCTCATACTAAGAAGGCTACTCAGTGCACAGACCATTCACAAAAGAGTTCACACTTCAAGTAGAACAGTGTGTATTTCTCTGACAACCTTAATACTTGGGAAAATAATTGGGAACCAAAAATAAGCAAGAGGTGTTAGGGAAGCCAAAACAGAGGTCTTGACATCATCCCTAAGAATTTGATAAATGATGGGCAGATGGCCAAGAAACACATGGAAAAATGCTCATCATCTTTAATCATCAGAGAAATGCAAATCAAAACCACTTTGAGATATCACCTAACTCCAGGAAGATTAGCTCACATCACAAAATCCCAAAACTGCAGATGTTGTCATGGGTGTGGAAAGAAGGGAACACTTCTACACTGCTGGTGGGATTGCAAACTAATACAGCCATTTTAGAAAGAAAGATAGAGAATTCTCAAGGAACTAAAAGTTGATCTACTGTTTAATCCTGCAATTCCATTACTAGGTATCTACCCAGATGAACAAAAATCATTTTACAACAAAGACATTTGTACTAGATTATTTATTACAGCTTAGTTTACAATTGCCAAAATGTAGAAACAACCTAAATGCCCATTGACCCATGAACGGATTGACAAATTGTGGTATATGTATACCAAGGAATACTATGCAGCCATAAAAGATGGAGATTTTACATCTTTTATATTTACCTGGATGGAATGGGAACATAGTCTTATTAGTAAAGTATCTCAAGAGTGGGAAAACAGTATCCAATGTACTCAGTAGTATTATGAAACAAATATATAATCACTTACACATTCATATGAATGATAAAAAACAAATATCATCCAGAAAGGAGTGGAGAGGAGGGAGAGGGATGGGAGGGGTGAGAGAGAGTGGAGGGAGGGTATTTGGTGGGATCTCACCTAATGTGCCCAATGCAATGGTACATTTTAAAACAATGAAGAGTATATTATAAATGTCTTACCACAAAAAATAAGTAAGTGAGGTGATGGTTATGCTAATCAGTTTTATTTAAGCATTCTACATGTATACCAAATCATCACATTGTATCTCGTAAATATATACAGTTATGATTTAATGAAAATTAAGTTAAAAAAAGAAATGTCAGTTGATTGTAGTAAGGCACTGGGTCTATATTGTATTTTTTGCACCTTTAATGACGTGAAAAAGTTTTATTTATTTTTTTAAGTAATTTTTTTTTTTTGAGACAGAGTCTCACTTTGTTGCCCGCAGTAGAGTGCTGTGGCGTCACATCTCATAGCAACCTCAAACTCAGGCTTAAGTGATTCTTTTGCCTCAGCCTCCCAAGTAGCTGGGACTAAAGGTGCCCACCACAATGCTTGGATTTTTTTTTAGAGACAGGGTCTCCCTCTGGCCCAGGCTGGTCTTGAACTTGTGAGCTCAGGCAATCCACCTGCCTTGGCCTCCCAGAGTGCTAGGATTACAGGTGTGAGCCACTGCACCTGGTCATGAAAATGTTTTGAAATGTAATTATTGTTCAATAAATAATTGATGATCCTTTACTCTATATAAATATATATACATAAATACAAACATACACATATGTGTATGTCTATATATGTATGCACATATATAGCTTCAAATTGTGAATAAATCAAGGTTAATATAGATACACTAAAAAAAAAGAATTTGATAAATGGACATTCCATAGTGTTGATGACAAATGAATCCAATTGGATATTCACCCTTGTTAGAGGCTATGCACAGGACTTGCAAGGTGCTTTGTTTTCATGGACAATCTGAAGTAGAAATATACCTAGCATTGCTCCTGAAACATTCAATTCCAAATAAAATGATACTTAATTGTGCGGCATATTTCAGTTTGTGCTAATTCCTGTATAATCTAACACATTTGGCCAAAGTAGTTGCCAAAAATAATTTGAATGCACACATCTTAGAATTCCATGTCAGGTCAAAACAAAAAGGTTATCCATTTAGAAGCACCAAAACGCTTTCATTGTAATCATTTTAATTGGAAATAGAATTGCAATGAGTTATATGGAGCCCTTTTTCCTTTTTTTTTTTCTTTTTTTTTTTGAGACAGAGTCTCAAGCTGTCGCTCTGGGTAGAGTGCTATAGCGTCACAGCTGACAGCAACCTCAAACTCTTGGGCTTAAGTGATTCTCTTGCCTCAACCTCCCAAGTAGCTAGGACTGTAGGCACCCACCACAACGTCTGGCTATTTTTTTGATGCAGTTGTCATTGTTGTTCAGCTGGCTTGGGCCGGGTTCGAACCCGCCAGCCTCGGTGCATGTGGCCAGCTCCGTTGTAACCACTGAGCTACATGTGGGTGCTGAGCCTGGAGCCCTTTTTCTTGGCTGAAGAAAGAATCCTGAATATACTTGAAGTGATCTTTACTTCATTAGGACATACAGATCTGCTTTCTGGGACCCTCTTGATCTAAAACACCCTGAATTTTAAAAATTTATGTCCACTCTTCATTTTTTTCTATCTTCTTTCTTACAAGAAACTGACATCTATTTATTCAATCAGCATTTACTGCATGCTCCCTATGACAAAACATGGCACCAGGTATTGAAGAGCAGACACATCAGTATGCCCTTTGCCTTCAAGAATCTTGTAGTCTGGCTTGGAGCCCATAGCACAGTGGTTATGGTGCCAGCCACATACACTGA